TACTTTCCTCCATCTTCCTAGCCTTGTTGTCTACTATGCTCCAAGATGTTTCATCTGCTCGGACCATTGGAGGCCAGCTTATTAGACACACACTCATGCTGGGCTTCTGTCCAGTTGTTTCAACCCTGCACACAAAGCCTGGTTCCCCTGTTCACCCACCCAAGTCCTGCTCATCCACAAAGACCCAGTGTAATCCTATTCTTCATGAAGACTTCTGATCACTCTAGTTTACAGTGTTATTTCCCTCCCAAGGTCAGTTGTAGCTTTTCAGGTAGACCATGTATCTTCTCAGGTAGACTGAGTGCTTGGAAAGACCCGTATGTGTAATATAAAGAAGATCTAGCAGGGAAATAGGATTTGCCATAGAAATTACCTTACTCTGTCTACGTTGGACAAAGTACCGTTGACTACCACATGCCTTTCTCTTCTAAGAGGAGAATTCATGGAAAAGAAAAGAAACTCTTAAAAGGAAAAGATAAAAGAATGAAACTGATGTTAATATAATTCAACATTATTCTCTCTGTTCTTTTTTAGACTCCTGGATATTCCTCTTATTTCAAATTATTCCAGGTTTCATTTTTCTGTCTATGGATTTGAGACTGTAAATTCCTATTTAAATTCGCATTGTTTGTTCTGGTCGTTTTATATATCTCTGATACATAATGGTCTTAAGAGACTGAGTTTTACAAAGAGGAATCTTCATTCCCTGATGTACTTGTATGTGCATTAGCCATCCCACAAGTGCCCAGCACTGTGCTACAGGCTATAAATGGGGTGTTCTCAGTCCAGTGATATCCCCTGCTCTGGGCACTGTTACTCTAGTATCTTGTCTTAACACATTCTTAGTCCAGCACTTATATCACGAAGTGTGGGATATGACTCTGAAGAAGGTATTACTCTTTTTTTGTTTTTTTGCTCCTCCTAGCCCTGGACTCTATAAGGTTGGAAAACAAGTTTATCCCTATGCCTTAATATAAATATTTGTGAAGAGATTGAAATTCTTTTCTTCAAAATTTCTTGCGTTGCTTTTGATTGTCGCAATTTTTCCTAAGTTCAAGAGTGTTTCACAAGTAGACTACTCTTTCTTCTCCGACTCAAGTATGTGAGCTATACAGATTCCATATTAGCCCAATTAATGAACTCATTTATTATTGCATTTAGTGGAATAAACATTTTCATTTTTTGGCCAAAGGGAATATAGAGCAGTGGTACACTGCTATGATGGCGGAACCAGCTCTGTTGGCTTCAAATCTTTGCTTTGCACATATTTGCTGTTGGATATTGGGCAGGTTACTGAACTGCTCTGTGCCTCAAATTCTTTATTTATAAAATGTTCAGAATAATGGTATCTGTCTCATAGAGTTGTAAGGAGGATTAAATGAGCTAATGTTGGCAAATAGGATAGTATTTTTTTCATCTTTGCACCATCTATTTTGATTCATGGGAAAGGCAGGGGCTAGTGCTAGGGAGATGTGGTTCTTTTTTTTTTTTTTTGAGACAGAGTCTCACTTTATTGCCCAGACTAGAGTGCCGTGGCATCAGTCTAGCTCACAGCAACCTGAAACTCCTGGGCTCAAGCAATCCTGCCTCAGCCTCCCGAGTAGCTGGGACTACAGGCATGTGCCACCATGCCCAGCTAATTTTTTCTATATATATTAGTTGGCAAATTAATTTCTATTTATAGTAGAGACGGCGTCTCGCTCTTGCTCAGGCTGGTTTCGAACTCCTGACCTCTCGGCCTCCCAGAGAGCTAGGATTACAGGCGTCAGCCACCGGGCCTGGCCTATTTCAGTATGGATTATTATGTTTTCCTCCTGGGTTTTTATTAGAGGGAAAATGTTTTAAGTTACATAAGTGATTGTTTGCAATATTTCCTCTTGGTTAAAACTGGATTGCTTGACTATGGATGTTTAGAGACTCTGTTGAACAAAGTTTTAAAGCTTGTTCTACCAGAGGGAGAGAAATCTACATTTTTTTTCCTTCCTTGAATTCTGTAGGTAGGTGGCTCCACCATATGAAATTATCCCCCCCCCCTTTTTGTTTTTCTTCAAATAATTAAACAATAAAGGATGGATAATATCCAGTAACCTTTGGAGGGCTTTTGAGTAAAGGCTACTACTTATTTAAAACAAAACAGAAAATAAAGTGCATACAGACCAGTTGAAGTCAGGGACACCTGCAATCATTATCAGATCTAACCTAGACCTTTTCACTAGCTGTTTGTTTTGAAACATCGCATATTCTCTTTATAAGAGAATGAATGACAAGCTTCTGACTCCAGTGAAGCATTTTGACTAATTGCTGGCAGGTCACCCAGCAATGATAAAGTATCAGTTTGTTTTTTCTAGAGAGATATTTCCAAACAATAGTCATCTGGGAGTTGTAACAGGCATTGAAAAGGTGAATTTGACAAATGAATTATCATGGATCTGTTGATAAATCGAGTACATTGAATTTGATATATTACTTTAGATAATGGAGTGATTGGGAGATCAAATGTGAAAATCACTACCTAGAAAATGTTACTTAATTGCAACATTTCCCATCAGTTTCATTTTTTGTATGATTTTAAACTATTAACTTTGAAGTGTTTTTAAAAAAATGACTTTTGGGTCTGTATATTTTGTGCCTTTCATGATGTGTTTAACTGGTTTTTAGCAAAAACAAACAAAAAACCTCTCAAAATTTGACTTGTAATAAAAGTTGCTTAATGAATAGCATTAAGTATGTATATTTTCAAAGCAGGCAGTATATTCTGAGAATTTTCTTCTAAATACTCAGTTTCTAAGTTTATGCTTTTCTTCTCCCCATAGCAACATGAAACTCTCTGTAAGTGGTCTGTTCTTTGATTGTTATATTTTTTCAGCCAGAAATTATTAGAAACTTAGGGAGACACATATACTGAACTTATAAATGTATTACGTTGGATTACTAACAATAGACCTAATTGATAAAAGTGATTTACTATATGTTGTGTTAATAGCTAAACCTCCAAAGCCTCTAATCTCCCATGGAAATATTGCTTTGTAGAACGAAATCCAATGAGAAGTTCTGGGATTCCAGAGTGAATTTGTACATTCCTTAGGGGCATTTTTGCAAGGGAGGTTGTTGTGTTTTAAAGGTAGTTGATAAGAGACCTGCACCACCAACCCCAGACCTGCACCACCAACCACCATCATGCATTAGTCTATAGAAGGTATTTGGGTGTACGTACTCCTGTACCACTCGGTACCACCATTTAGCCAAGGGAAGTTTCTGACCATTTGCAGCATACATTATAAATCAGGATGTCACTTCCAGACAATCAGATTTGAACATTCCATGAAAAAAGTAGCCTATATACCCTAGGAATAGATCACTTAACTATGTTTATGTCATGCTGTTGATATTCCTGCATTTACACAAGTCAGGATAGCACATTGTTTATTTATTTTAAGAGTAGGTAATTGATTTGTATATTTACCTAATTTGGGGTTAATTAGCCAAAAAGTGCTTAAATCCATGGGGAAAATACAATTATTCTTCCAACTCTGAAAATTACCCCTTTATTTTTTGGGTTTGTGAAAGAATAATTTTGAGTCTTCTCCAAGTTGGGCTGGTGTTGGCCTCTCTCTTTTAAAAAATTTTCTGTTTGGCACGTAATGCTTGGGAAGGTCACTGGCCAGAGGATATTTGGGGAAGCTTGGAGGGATATTTGGGGAAGCTTGGAGGATTTCCAACTGCCACATTAGTCCCCTCGGGAGACCCAGGACAATCACAGGATATATTTGTGCAATGAAATAAACTTGTTGAAGTTTATTCTCCTTCTAGTATCACTAGGGGATATCACTGCCACTTGGGAATGTGGCAGCCTTTGGTACCAAGTTTGTACACACTGGTTGGCTGCAGAGATTTTGTCTTTTTGACTCTTTTGTTTAAAAAAAATTTGTTTGTAGAGATGAGCTTATAGATCTGGCAACTTAGAAATTAGTTTCAAAAAATAAAAGCCAAAATATTGGTCTGAGTCTCAGAATCAAGGGCCATAACTTGCTATATAGGACTTAGTAATAAAAAGTCACTTCAAACAAATATAAAATGGGAAACTCAAAAAAGCACAGTCAAGCAAATGAAAAGTTACTCATGATATTAATCAGAGATAACCACTGTTAACATTCTGGTCTTTTTTATACTTCTCTTTTTTTGCATATGTAACTCTGTTGTAAGTAAGAATTTGCATCCTTGTCTTTTTTACATTATATTATAAATATCTCTCCAAATATTTAGAATTTCTTCATACTCATTTTCTTAAGTTTCTAGTATATCAATATATAGATATAAGAATTTAACCCTTTTCTTATTATTGTACATTTAGGAGGTTTGCAGTTTCCTTTATTATAAATAATGCTGTGATGAAAATCTTTGTACTACATCTTTGTCTAGTTCTCTGGCTAATTCCTTAGGGAAAAAAACCTTAGAAGTAAAAGTACTAAGTTAAAGAATAAACATTTTTAAAAAGCAAGGTGTATGTCAAATTGCTTTCCAAATCGGTTACCTCAAGGTGCACTTTAATCAACTTTGTATGAAAATGATCTTCTTCCTGCAGACTTCCAAACACACTTCATGAGATGAGTTCTTGCTCTGTTGCTCCAGAGCAGTGTCATAGCTCACTGCAGCCTTGAACTCCTGTGTTCAAGTGATCCTCCAACTTCAGCCTCCCGAGTAGCTGGGATTACAGGCGGGTGCCACCATGCCTGGCTAATTGTTATATATTTTTTTTGTGGAGACAGGGTTTGGTCTCAAGTGATCCTCCAACTTCAGCCTCCGAAAGTGCTAGGCATAAGCCACCTTGCCCAGCCCAAACAAATATTTTTGTATTATTATTATGAAAATGTTTTTGTAATTTTATAATTTTCATTCCTTTGATTACTAAATAAGCTGAATAATTTTTCATTTTTATCAAAAATTTGTGTAATTTCTGTGAAGCATTTTTTTAAAAAATGTCTTTCTATTGCTTGTTACAGGATGTAACAGTGAGCAATTTCGCTGTGGAAATGGACATTGTATCCCTGTATCCTGGAGGTGTGATGGGACCAGTGACTGCGGGGATGACTCAGATGAAAATGGCTGCAGTAAGTGAGGAGGGGACAGGCTAAGCTCTATTTTGTTGTTGTTGTTGTTGTTGTTGTTTTTGTTTTGACTTGGGCAGCACTCTGTACCAGTGAAGGTTCAGAGAGCTCCCACTAAGCTTTATTTTGAAGGACATAAGTGTTTCACGGTGATTTCAGCGATAACAAAGAGCTGTACCTTTATTGATAGGCCCGAGCCCAGTCTTTTGAGATCTGTGTGGTTGAACACAGAACTGTTGGTGTTAGTTGTTGTTTAAACTCCTTCTGAGGTAGGGGTTCAATTCATGCCAGTTTCTGTCTCACCCTGTCCCTTGACCATGACCTTGATATGAAATGAATGATATGTAAACAAATTTGGGCACAATTTTCTGAAGCTTCTATTTCTGATACTTTGTGAATTTTGTGCACCAACAAGCACAGACAAAATTTAACTAATTATAAAATCATTTTCACATACATTTGTTCATTTAGTTCTTTCATCAATTTAAACAAAATTTAACTAATTATCAAATCATTTTCACATTTGTTCATTTAGTTCTTTCATCAATTTTTGAGGTAAGTTTCAGATCAGACACTGAGACTTAGAGAAGTTAAGTCATTTATCAAAGGCCTCACAGTTGGTGAGTCCATGCACAAATCCCAGCCCTAAGTCCATTGCTCTTCCCCACTTGCCATCGGTGATCAATCATACCATCGTAATTTTACCAATTCTGATAGGTGAACAGAGAAGGGTTATCATCCAAACACCAGCAAAGCAGCTGAAAAAATTAATTTTATTTTGTATTCTTGGCCATCCAGTGGCACACCAGAACAGTCAAACTTGGGTGTATTGTTTAGATGATGATGCATTTGAAAGTGGGAGGCTGGGTAAGGGATAGGTCCTATACAGTGCTTCTCAAGCTTTCATGCACAAAGGGAACACCTGCACGCTTATTCAAGTGCAAATTTTGATTCCATATGTTTGAAGTGTGACCTTAGATTCTGCATTTCTACCAGCTACCAGTTGATGCTGATGCTGCTAGTTTGTGGAGCACCTTGAGCAAGGGAACAGCTAGATTTGTAGAGACATGATCACGTGCTATCTATTTGCTTCCTTGGGGTTCACTGAGTTCATTCTTGGTTAAACAATAGGAGCAAAAGGGCAAGAATTCTGGGATAAAGGAATATCAATAACTCTTCATAGATTATTCCCTGTTTTACATTTTATTGACCTATAACATTAATCACAACAATAATACCAATGACAATAGTGATAGCAACTAACATTACATGGCACTTTCACATTTGTTATTTAATTTATTTTTTACAACAAACCATGAGATAAGTATAGTCCTCATTTTATGATGCATGTATTGAGATTCAGAGAACCTGTCAAAGAGCCTATAGCTAGCAAATTATGGAAATAATAACTATTTGATTCTGGGTCTTCTAAATCTCATGGATTTTCCAGTTCATATGATGCTTTACTATTAGTTATTGTAAAAAAATAATTTGACAGTAACTCATGGTTGATTTTTTTTTTTTTACTTACATTAAAATTTTAATTTAATATTTTTTCATAAAGTTGTATGTATGTGTGTTTGGGCTGTTTTATTCTCTGTGTTTTTATATTTGGATTATCAGTTTGTTGTGATACCATTGCTGATGTTATTTGGCAATAAACTCTGATTAAGTCCAGAGACTCTAGTATAAGGGTTGTTTACTATTTGCCTTCAAATAAATTGACCAGGAATTGACATAGATTCTTCTGAAACAAGCATTGCTTGCTGGTGTGATGGGGTGAATGTTTGCCACAAATAGTCCTTTTTGGTTTCCTCTAGCTCCTACATCCTGCCATACGGGCTATTTCAGATGTCAGAGTGATGGGAATTGCATCCCTGACTCCTGGGTGTGTGATGAAGATCAGGACTGTGACGATGGCTCCGATGAACATCAGAATTGCCGTAAGTGTTTGGAGACACCTAAAACCCCACCTGTCACAGACAGGTTACACACAATGGGATAATTCTTTATAAATGCAGAGCGGCGCCATAAATGACAGGGGAACCTATCCTATGCCAGCAATCTTGTTCAGGGGTTAGATGATATTGAAAGTGTGAATGCAATTTGGAAATGGGATAGGTTCCCAGTATTTAATTTATATTATATTATACTCAAGAAAGAAACAAAATATTTATTGTATGTAAAAGTGGGAGTCATCATTTGTGTGATTGGCAGTTGGATGAGTTCTTCTGCTCTTGTATATTTTGCATTCACACCTATCACCTCTTCCATCCCAGTACTAATTAGACTCTCTTCTTTCAGATTGAGTGGAAGTAGGTAGGTTTGTTGGAAGCATTCTAGGTGGTTACTTCAGTGACTGCTTCTACACCCACCATAGGATGAACTGTAGCAAGAAAGAAAATAGTAGCAATGAAGTGGTTCATGGTAACTGCTGCATTCCTGGACATTGAGGGGGTTTGGACAGTAACCTGGAAGAAACCCTTAAATTCTGATTTCTTTGGGATCAAACTGGAAGAGTGTTTTTATTTATTTTTTCTCTTTATATTCTCACCCAGTCCCCTCCCTTCTCTTGCCTCTCCCCAAGAGTATTTTAATGCTTTTGAAAATAATTTTAGGTAAGAGAGCAATATTGGGTAAATATGAGATGGCAACAGGTGAGCAATTTGTCTACCATGTGCATGATTCTATTGCTTTCTCTGTTAAGGATATTTGTATAATTTAAAATCATTCATGTATCAATGTGGATGTTTTTGGAAGAAAGAGAAACACAACTCAAAGTTAAACAAAAGGGGATTTATTACCTCACATCATAAGAAGCCTTACTGTAGGATTGTTGTAGGGTTGATTAATTCTCAGCTCAATCACATTATCCAAGTTTTCCTCTCTTTTCTGCTTTATCAAATCTATCCTATTGACTTGTCTTGATTGCATAAAAGCTTCTGCAGTCTTGAATTTTACATCCCCATAATACAGCTTTCAACATCTAAAAGAGAGAACATCAATATCCTGCCCCATTGGTTTTTTAAAAAATATATAAAACCAAAACCAAAATAAACAACCCGACCTCCAAAAACCTCTCCAAGTCTAGGCTGGACCCAGGTGGCCGCTGAAGAGAAGGTACCAGGCCAGAATGAGTAGCTCAGGCTCTGGATCCCGGTTGCCCTCTGGAAGAGTCTGACTCTGACCCGTGTGTCATTCATCTTTGAGCCTCACCACGCTCTGCTTCATTAAACGCACATTGCACAAATTATGGACATTTATCCTCACTCTGTGCCAGTTAGCGGATATCTTGTTAGAGTTTTCACATAGTCATTGTCCACCAAGATCAAAGAAGAAACAGATGGCTGCATCATATGGAAACTTGTTTAGTCTTTAGATGCTGACAGTAGAACGTCCATGGAATTTCAGTGGGTCCTGGATGTGTTCATAAAAGACTGGGAATTTAGCTCAGGACTTTTGAGTTCAATATAGAGTGTGAACTCTTTTCAGTTGGGCCATGGGATGCTTAGGGTCTTTTGAGAAAGTGAATAGAAATTTTGAAAATGCCCATGAGTTTGGCTTTGATTTAAATCTACAATAAAGTCTGTGTAATTAAGTATCCTGTTGGGGCCCATCAGGGATGGCTGTGGGGTCTGCCAGCAACAGAGGGATGGTGATCCTTGGTAAGGTGGTTAAGGGGAAACCAGCCAGCTATGTAGGGCTGTGGAAGGGTTGATGGTGACAAATGGCAGTCCTGAGGAAGACATGGACAGGCCACACACGGGCATGGCATATTCAGTCAGGATTCGAGGTGGAGTGACAAAAGGCGAGGGCCACATCTGGAAGAGGGATTTGGGGGTAATGGTTCAGAAGTGCTGAGGGGAGGAAGGAAAAGTGCCAGGCACAGTAGGGGGCAGGAAGAATTCCTCCTTTCTAGGAAATCTTTCTGGTTGGCCTCTCAAAGGTCCTAGGGGAAGGGGTGGGTGACCTGCAGAAAGCAGGTGCTCAGGGGGAACAGAATAGGGCTAGATTGTGAGTCTCTGGAGATCAGTGACTGTGCTTTATTCAGCTTTGCATTCGCAAGGCCTGGCGTTCTGTCAGCCAGTGAGTAGGTTCTTAATAAGTAGATGCTAAGTGCATGCTGAATGATGGGTTATTCATATTTTCATTAAATAGGCCACTTTTGTTGCATTTTCCTTTACTCCCCACACAGAGTAGGAAGAAAGCTGAGGTTTGTTATTATTAGAAATGATCCTCTGGCAGATGATGGAACTACTAAGAACAACTACTTGGGAAAAGAGACTGGAGATTAGTTTATAGCAGTTATTTAACAGCAGTGTTACATACCATTTTAAATGAGTATGGATTTAATAATTTTTTAATAATAAAAAATTCTTTATTAGATATCTTTTGACCACAGACAAAATATGCTACCACTATGCTCACAAGATCACCAGAGAACTCCTGATCGCCAAACCCCATGGGAACTTTTCTTTCCTTTTTATGCTGGATGGATCTTTCTTTTGCACTTAACTCTGGTGGTCATCCCCGCCTCCCTGACACTACTCTGTTTTCACTGTGACCCCCTAATGTCCCAGCTCTCTTCTTAACTGCTTTAGTCATTCCATTTTGTTTTCCTCTTCTACTCAGCCCTTTAGTGTTGGCATTGCTCGGAACCCTGTCCTGAGCAGTCCACTCTTGCAGAATAATCTTGCCATTCTGTGATTTCAGTAGCCTGTGGGCTGATAAGATCCAAGTCTATGCTTAGAACTCAGAGTTCTTGCCCATATCAGTCTTGTGTATTCAGCTTCCTGTTGTATTCACCTGTTGGCAGCTGAATACACAAGAGGCATCTCCAAGGTGCCTAAAACTCAAGGTGCTCCTTGTGCTGGCCTTTTCTTCTATATTTGCTTGTCTACATGTTTTACCTTATTAATAGAAATAGCATTTATCCCACTGGAAAGTATTGGCAGAAAATCCAAAATCAGACTCAAACTATCAGCAATAGGCAGATTGAGGCTCTTTCACTTGTTAAATTTCATAAAACATATTGCATAATGAAAGTATTTTATTAGATGAAAAAGAAAGATTGCTGCAAGTGACATGAAAGATATAATCAATTGACATGAGAAGGATGTCACAATCCCCCAGGCACCCACCCTAGAAACTTGGAAATCATTCTTGGTTCTTTCCTCTCCTTCAATGCCCACATTTACTCACCAACTCCTGCCTATTTGCATTATAAACATTTCCAAAGGTCATCCCTTCTTTTCTGTTTATGCTCCCACTGCCAACATCCCTTATTTGGTGCCAACATCCCTCGTCTGGACTGGCCTCCTTGGCTTATCCTGTACCTCCCAGGGCTCTCCCTGACACCGATGCTGATCTGTCTCAGAGCGTTGGGTAGCTCTCCATCACCTCCAGGAGAAAGTTCCAACTACCTAACACGGTTTACAGTGGCCTCCATGATGTGGCTGGTGCCTTCTCCCCATGTCTGTCACTTTCCTTTCGTGCCTTGAAATGTCCCTTTTGGGGACAGCAGTGCTTGGGCATACCATGCTGGGTCCCAGCCTCCTGCCTCTATGCTTGATGCCTGAATGCTGGCTGCTTCCTGCTGGACCGTCCTTTCCTTTTGGCCTCCCTGACTGCTACTTCTCTAAGACCAAGGGGAGATGTCACCCCGTCAAGTAAACTGTCCTGTCCATACTCTTATCCCAGAGTGAATTAGGCGCCCCTCCTTGATGTTTCCGTGATTCTTGGGTGTCTATAATCCACTTTCATAAGTGTTTTCTAATTATTTCCTACAGTCTCCCCCAGAAGACTGTTTACTCATTGAAGGTGGGGATTGTGCCCTTCTCATCTTAAGATTCCCATGTGTACTCTGTGGTACATAGTAGGTACTCAATAGATGTTTGTGTATCTATTGAATGAATAAATGAATCCCAGGATTAGATTGGTTGATGGAACTATATAATCTTTCTCTATGTTTCAATGAGCTTTTAATTGCTCCCTCATAAACTCTTTGAAATCTTAAGCATAAAATAAAGAATTATTTGGGCTTGACTTTAAGAAGAAAGTTGAAGTAGTTGAAATAATACTGGCCCCTGATTTAATTTATTTTCTTATTTTGTTTAAAACTACTCAAGACTTGCCTTTTCAGAACTAAAAGAAAGTTCTTTAATTTCATGTGGAAATTGGCAGTATATGGAAAATCAGTGAGGAAGTATTTATCTTTTTAACCTTATTCAGAAAAAATTTGATCTCTGCTATGGGCAGAATTCAGACATTTAAGTGCCTTCTAGAAAAATCTATTCTGCCTTTATTAATAGAAGTAAAATTTAACCCATAGATGTAAGATACCAGTGGAAAATATGAAATCATACTGCAACATGTCAGAAATAGGCTGACTAGAAAAATTTTGTTAGCTGTTGAACAATTACATGACACATTCAAAATGAAATAATTTTATTAAACGGAAGGAAAAACGTGACAAGAAAGATATAATCACTTAAGCATGGAGAAGGGTAGTAATATGGTTAATATTTTTTATATCTTATTACATAATAAACTTTTTATATTTGAATTTTCAAGTACCGACTCTAAAGCTATCATTGTCTACTTTTCTTTTAAGAAGGTTTTTCTTGCTAAATTCTGATGGCATCTATTGTCATCAGAAAAGTACGTTTTGCTGAACCTAAGTATCTTTACTAGGCACTAGCTCTAAAAATTCAAGGGGAAACTTTTTTCTTACCTTAGAGGATTATATTCATTTTATAGGATCATATTTTCCCCAAATGCTTTTCTTTGTATGTGAACATTTTCTAAAAAAATCCCATGATAAGATAATGTTACCAAGTCATGGTCATTCTTGCCTCAGATTTACAGAATGGCTTTTATGTATGCTTGTGGGCATCAATTCATTTGATTTTATCTGTTTCATCCAGAGGCAAATTTGATGAATTGCTGATGCCAGGCTTTCACCTATATGAATCAATATATGATAAAATCAGGATAGCTTAAAAAATTTTTTTGTGTTTATAAAATTGACACATGGTCAGTGTATACTAGAGGAAACTATATAGAAAAAACTGAATTACTCATTACCACCACTCAGCTCTTAATCCTTTGGTATATTTTCTTTTTGTTTATATAAGGATATCAATGAGGGGAACCTTACTGACCCTTGGTTAATACCTGTATCTGCAAAATTTTTATTTTATTCATCTCTAGCTTTTCAATATATATTATATTCTTTTTTTTTTTTGAGACAGAGTCTCACTGTGTTGCCCAGTATATTGTATTCTTAACACATGTTGATAATGTAGTTGTCTGCACTAATATGCTTGAGTGTTGATGGTATTTTGTGGAAATTCTGATAATATTATATTTTGGCATTGCAAGCACAGCTTGGTGGCAGCTGGGTACTTGACCTTGTGTTCCCATGAACTTTATGCTTTTCAATATCCTCATTAATATTTGGTAAATGTCAGTAGATTAGTCAGTGTCTGACAGTAATTATAAATTAAATAATATTTTTTTCCCCTTCATAGCTGGGAAAACATGTTCGAGTCGCCAAATGACATGCTCCGACGGTCAGTGTATCCCAAAAGAATACAGGTGCGACCATGTCCAAGACTGCTCAGATGGAACTGACGAGAAAGACTGCCGTGAGTCTATTTCAGTCTTTTCACTGTATTTGGTTTCCCCCTTGTCCCTTCGGCATTTTAATCAATTTGTTAGATTTGTTGATGGACAGAAATGCCTACAATACACCTCTTGTTATTGAAATCTCTCGGCAGATTCTTTTGTGGATTAGGGGTGATGTTCTGATAAGAGTCTATTTTTAATGAGACATTGTGAGTGTGTTCTGCCTTAGCACATCAAGTCTCTGTACTTCCTGAAGTAAATCACTTTTAACATTAACATAAAATCCAAAAAGATTATTGAATATATTTAGTATGAAATCCAGTTTGGTCAATTTTAACTTTTATTACACTGCAATGGTAAGTTTCTATGTCAAATTCCTTATTAGTTTTTCTGCTCTTGTGGACTCAACATTTTCCAGATTACCTTTGGAAAAGTGTTATAAATGGCTTTCCCTATAATGGCAACATATGGTGTCAGTTTGTAACTGTGCGTGTAAGTCACAATACTCTATGTATAATGTATAAATATTACCATACTGAAATAAGAAAGTACAATCTTGGTATATTATGTACTAGCAAATAAATAGTAATCAGTCTGTCTTGAGATTTAATAGGCTTAACAAGAATATACGAATTAGTTGGCTGGGTCAGTCCTATATTCCTGCAGTCCCTAAACCCCAGACCACGGCCTAGTACCGGTCCATGGCCCGTTAGGAAGTGGGCCTGTATCACTGCCTGAGCTTTGCACCACCTCTCCCGGACCCATGACTCCCCAACCCCTCACAGCCTGTGGAAGAATTGACTTCCATGAAACCAGTCCCTGGTGCCAAAAAGGTTGGGGCCTGCTGCTATAGTCCATGTAATTCTGTTTTTTTGTTTTTCCCTTTTATTTTTTGAGACAGGATCTTGCTCTGTTGCCTAGCTTGGGGTGCAGTGGCACAATCATAGCTCTTTGTAACCTCCAACTCCAGGGCTCAAGGGATCCTTTTGCCTCAGCCTCCTGAGTAGCTGGGACTACAGATGTGCACCACCATGCCCAGCTAATTAAGATTTTTTTTTTTGTAGGGGCAGGGTCTTGCTATGTTGCTCAGGCTGGTCTTGAACTCCTGGTCTCAAGCAATTTTCTCACCTCAGCCTCCCAAACTACTGGAATTACAGATGTGGGCAACTGTGGCTGGCCTAATTCTGTCTTTAATCTCAGACATACCTAGTGTCTCTTAAAAGCTCTTATATATCTATCATTTATGAATTTATCTAGAACTTCCTTGTTTTTAAGTGACTTCATAAGTTTACTATGTGCTTCATAAAGGTACATTCATCAAGTAATGTTGGGGTCTTGTTCTTAGGTAGTTTTGTTGTGTGAACACCATAGAGTGTATTTACACAGACTAGGTGGTGTAGCCTACTAGGCTATATGGTACAGCCTATTGCTCTTAGGCTACAAAACCAGAACAGCATGTTATTGTACTGAATACTATGAGCAATTGTAGCACAATGGTAAGTATTTGCATATCGAAACACATCTAAACATAGAAAAGGTATAGTAAAGATATTGTGTTATAACCTTTTGGGACCACTGTTGTATATGTGTTTCATCATGGACTGTCCTTTATTTTCTCTTAAATTTATATTTCAAACTTCAAGGAGTTATTCCAGTATTCTAGTAATTGGCTAACAGATTTTGTGTGCCATAGAAACCTTGATCATAAACTTCTCAGTTATTATGTTTACAACTGAAGATTTAAGTTTTAGTCTGTTGTCATGGGACACCTCCTCTGTTTTATAATTTTGATTTAATTTTATTTCTCTGGGATATCCGTAAATTCTTTCCTTTGAGCCAAATGGTATATTATATTCTTTCTGATGAAAGAACTATCTTCTGTAAATGTTGATAAACTTCCCAATATGGTGCCATCCCCAAAGTGGAAGCTAACATAAATTAGTTATGGTGAACAAATTGTTCCTAGTCACTGTACTGTTCAAACTGTACTGTTAATGGAAGAAATACTTGTATATGGAAGAAGGAAAGACCTGTGCCTAAAAAGGCTAAGACTCATGCTGTAGCCATACTGCTGTTACCTGGTACATTATTATTTTTATTTTATTTTATTTTTTGAGACAGACTCTCACTTGCTGCTCAGGCTAGAGTGAGTTCCGTGGCGTCAGCCTAGCTCATAGCAACCTCAATCTCCTGGGCTCAACCAATCCTCCTGCCTCAGCCTCCCGAGTAGCTGGGACTACAGGCATGTGCCACCATGCCCAGCTAATTTTTTGTATATATATTTTTAGTTGGTCAATTAGTTTCTTTCTATTTTTAGTAGAGGCAAGGTCTCGCTCAGGCTGGTTTCAAACTCCTGATCTTGAGGGATCCACCAGGTGTGAGCCACTGCGTCCCGCCCCCTGGTACATTTTTAAAAACAACATTCTCCTCCAATGCTTTTTCCTCTTGTATGTTATTTTTCTTTGAGAGAAGGGTCTGTGCTATTTTTCTTTGTCTCTCATTCCCTAGCAGAGTTCTTGATGTCTGCAGTTTGGTTTTCCTTCACTTTGGAAATTATGCAGAGAATTTAGACTCAACACTGGCGAGTTTAGAGATGCTAGTGTGTGTGTCTGGATGCCACAAAGTAGCAAGTTTATGAGTCAAGGATTCTCCTTTCAGTACTTTGTAACGAAACAGCAGGTTCCTCATTCACTGAGGCAAATGAAGAAAATATTTTTGATTAATAATAAATCATATCTTGTATTTTGTAGCACTTTCTAAATTTCAAAGCATTGTATAAATTCTAGTTGCTACTCTTAGGTTCCTCAATGAGGACAACAAGGTAGGCATTATTTACTCTCTTATGAATAAAGAACCTAAAACTTAAAAGGGTAGAGTGACCTTTTCAAGGTTGTATGGCAGAGGTAGGGCTTAACCTGCCTTCTGGTTCCAAGTGTGGCGATTGCTCTTCATGAAGGACTTTATAGATGGAGAAAGTCCTACCTTGTGCAAGTTTAAGAGAGCACCAGAGGCCTGTGCCACCAGCCAACAATCTGTGTCTTTATCCCTTATTTACAATTAGATAAAAATGAGCGCTTTATTGCAAATGCAATGGAACTGAATGAAATGCTACTTTGGGAAAACAAAAAGCAGCTGAAACAGACTGTTTGGATTTTTTCCATGTGAACACCCTGCAGCCAAGTCTAAAGTCACTAGTACAACTGCCTCACAACTTTGCCAATGGGTCTTCCGGAAAAAAACCTGGCAAGATGTAAGCATGCAAGTAGCTGTTATAAAAGGGAATGAAGGAAAAGAAGTGAGCTATATAAATCATCTGGGCAGGAATTTTTAATCGGTATTTTTATTGAAAATTTTTGAAGTACAAGTGGTCAGTGAAATAAGAATTCATTAAGGAAAAAGAGCCACATTTATAGCTCATTGTTTCTGGAATCATACAAGTCATGATCCTTTCAGGGCATATTGTGGCCCTAAAATGAATGTCACACATGTTAGAGGTTTTGCAATGAGACAGTCTTTCTTATTTTCCTCTACTTTGTTTGCTTATGCTATGTTTTATTTATGGGGTGGGTGAAAAACAAATCTCACAAATCAGAGGAAATTAGGAAGAGAATCTTCATACCTCTTTGTTAGTGCTTTGATCTGCTCCCAGTCAGATACATGCAAGAAGGAAATGAATGGCCTGGATCAAAGTCCTTAGAAAGTGCCAGTATGCAACATGGGGTGTGTGTGGGGGGTGCATTTTGTTTTCCCTCTTTGTTTCAAGCTCTTGTGAAAGTGGGAAAGGGAGTTACCATTCACCCAACACCAGTCACTTGTCTTAGGCACTTCTCACATCAGTACTGCTAGGTAAGTGTGGTGACCATCTCCTCTTTACACAGACTGTAGATATTACCAAGATGCAGCAGTGGAGAGGCCAAGATTTTAATCTAGGTCTAAAGTGTATGTGATGCTCTCAGAATACTTTTCCATAGCAATGAGCAATGGACTTTTTTTTTTGAAATGGGATCTCCCTCTGTCATCTGGGCTAGAGTGCAGTGATGTCATCATAGCTCACTGTAACCTCCAACTCCTGGCCTCAATTCATCCTCCCATAGTTCTAGGATTACAGGTGTGAGCCATGCCTGTCCAGCAATGGAAGTTTATAAAGTATTTTTGCCTAAAATTTACTTAGCTGTTTTATTCTTTTTAAATATTATTGCTTAAAGGTTTTTATTATAGAAGTTCTTAACATATTTAACAGAAACAGTGAATTGTGTACTGAACACCTTCATACTCATTGTTCAGTTCAAGTATCAACTCATAGCTAATTATGTTTTATCTACATCCCTTTACTCTCCCCCCATTATTTTGAAATAGTTCTTAAACATTGTATAATTTCATCTGTAAATATTTTAGTATTTATCTCTAAAACACAAGGTCTAAAACATAACGAGAATATCATTATCACACCTGGAAATTTAAAAACTTTAAAAAAATAATCAGATCCAGTCACTTTTTAAAATTTCCCAATTGTTATTATTTTTATAGTTTGATTATTTGAATCAAAATCCAAATAAAATCTTTATTTTTGAGTTAGTTGATTTGTCTCTTAAACCTCTCAATTTGTAGGATTAAAAAAAATTTTTTTTATGTTTTGCCCCTTGCAATTTTTTTGTCAAAAAAGTGGAATGGGTGCATTCACTCCTATAATCCCAGGAGTTTGCTGTTGCAATAGGTATGATCATAACCACTGCACTCTAGCCCAGGCAACAGAAGGAGACCCTGTCTCAAAACAAAACAAAACCCACACTGGAATTCATATGAGCAAGAAATGCTTATAGTGATAGCTCTTGAGCTTTGTGGCCTTTATCAGTTGAGGCACCTGCCTATGTGTCATACACTGTTCATTTGGAATGCTATCACTTAAGCCACCCCCTTCTCCATTTCTCCACCCTGTGCTGATGCATAAGAACTCTTGGGATCTTTTACCCATGATCTCCTCTAATGCATCTCATTTCCAAACTCCTCTTCAGTGATTTGA